TGTTTTGCCAAAAATACCAGGGCCTCTGCACCCCATTTGAGTTTCTGTTTAAAGCTTCTTAGTGATACTGCCTTGATATTTCTCATCTGTCATAGGATATTTATGACTCCTAACATTATCACACCTATACTTTTTAGGACTTAATCTATTAACACCTGAAATTGCTCCTAGAAGGGAATGGTATCTGGCCAGACCATGAAGTATAGATATGCATACTAAATAGTCTATGTTCCCATTGAGATTGGCTAATATATTCTGTAAGAGCTAAAGCTTGTAGGTGATCTTAAAAGGTCACCACCACACGCAGCATAACAAAATGCCAGCCAAGAGGTTACTAGACCATTGTCTACCATGAAGAGAAATAATAGTGATGGATTATGATTTTGAATAGCATTTAACGTATCTGTCCAATGTTTAATGAATATTGGGCCCGGCTCCTTGCATATTTGCTGAGAAATTTTTAAAAGCAGATATTGAAATCAAGAAAGATAACTATATAACATTTTCCAAAAATCAGTCACAAAAGTTTTTGGAAAAAAACAAACAAAAATCAATAATGCATAAGTGGATAACTAGATTTATTGAGTGTCTGACAGAATTTATTATAGGAAATAGGCATGTGAAATTTTCTGTGAAATACAGGATCTGATCCTGGAGGTCTTTACCTCTTTATGATAGAAAAAAAAATTACCCATACATTTCTGCTATGTTCTCTACTCACACTGTAGCGTGGAAATGACCTAGGGATCTCAAAAGGTAGGCCAAGGAAGCATAAGCTTGTTAACTATGTCTATAATGATGCAAAGGCAGAGACCTTAAGCACAGTCCCATCACAGACTGATTTTATTTGTCCAATTGCCAATCTAAGTATAAAGAGAATTATTGCCAGAAATTAAGTCACCAGGTGAAGAAATTTTTGGAAATGGCCATCCATGAAACAAGGAAAAATAAATAGTCCTTAGTCACATGTGACCATTTTCTGTTTCCTCAGTGACAGTGGAGGGTCAGCAGAAAATGGGGCAGAAGGTATTAGAGATAATAGGCTTTTTAGGAACATCAGTACAGATAAGTGTTATAAGGTTATGAGACCTTGGATAGGGAATTGTAGGAAGATGGTGGAATAAGGCCCCAAATTCCCTCAAAAGTAACTTAAAATTATGCCTCAAAGTAAGTTTTAGAGTGGCAGAAATAATTAAAACTCAGAATAAAGACGTCGTTCAGCCTAAGACAAAATGAGAGACCAATCCAGGCTCTCAGGGTGGTGGTCTGGCCTGACTGAAATGACTACCAAGTCAACAAACAGCAAGCCCTGGGGGCAGCTGCATAGGGGCTTAGCTTCAGGAGATTCAGAAGTTTTCACCCCACAGACTGTGTGGGGCCCTGATCAGAGGAAGATTGTAGCAGCTGTCCAGTGATGCCAGGTTATGGCTGTGGACAAGGAGAAGCAAGCACAGGCTGGTGAGTGTGGTCAGAGGGCTCTGCTGATCGTGGTCACTCGAAGGAGAGCAGAGTCCTTGGTTTTGGTTCCAGGGGAGAGGGGAGAGCTGACACTTGCAGCTGCCTGAAAGATTGCAAGGAGCAAGAGCATTTACAATGGCAGTGGCTCTCGGGACACTTGTCATGGCTCAGAGGTGGAGAGGAGTACCTGAAGCCACTTTTAAATCAAGGTGTGAGACACAGGAGCAGTGACCATACATGGCCTTGGATTATAGAACATTAAAAGAACCAAGAGGTAAAAGACCCCCAGATAGAGCTCAGAAAACAACAGCACAAAAAACCTGAAGCCTGAGAAATTATACCCCACACCTCAGAAGTAGAGCTCAACTCTAACACAAAGTTAACAGCCAAGAAATAGGCTGCTTAAAAAATGGGTAAAAAGCAGAAAAAAGAACTTGACCACAATGGCTACTATGGTGAAAAAAGAAGATTGGGTTCAGACACAGAAGATAAAACAGCTTCTTGTAAAGCTTCAAAGAAAAATGTAAAATGGTCACAAGCCAAAAAAGAGTTCTCAGAAGAGCTTAAAAAGGACTTTAAAAATCAAATAAGAAAAGTTGAGGAAAACTGGGAAAAGAAATTAGTAATATAAGAAAAGTACAAAAATTATTAAAAGAAAATCAACCAACTGGAAAAAAGACCCAAAAACTTACCAAAGAAAATAACTCCTTAAAACTTAGAATTGGACAAGGGGAAGCAAATGACTTTGTGAGACAGCAAGAAATGATAACACAAAATTTTAAAAAACTTAAAAATAGGATTGTGAAATATCTCATTAGAAAAATAACTGACTTGGAATTGTCAGACTACCTGAAAGTTGTGATCAAAAAGAGTCTAGACACTAAACTTCAGGTAATTATTAAGGAAATTTGCCCTGAAAGTTTAGAACTAGAAGGTAAAATATAAACTGGAGTAAATTATCTCATATAAAAGAGGTGTGAATGGAAGAACTGTTACAGTGGAGGAAAGGAGAGGTGGGGGTGGGTAATATGAGAACCTTACTCCCATTGTAACTGGGTTAAAGAAAGAATAACATATAAATTTAGTAGGATATGAAAGTTTTCTTTACTTACATAAAAATAGGAGGACAAGGGGATAGCATAAGGGAGGGAATCTTGGAAGGGTGCATGGATTAGGAAGGTAATAGTCAGAAGTAAATTAGATTTCTGAGAAGGGAGAGGAGACAGAGACAGAGAGAGAAAGAGAGAGAGAGAGAGAAAGAAAGAGAAAGAGAGAGAGAGAGAGAGAGAGAGAGAGAGAGAGAGAGAGAGAGAGAGAGAGAGAGAGAGAGAGAATAAAGAGCAATATACAACTAGTAATTAAAACTTTGAATTTTAATTGGATGAACTCACCCATAAAACGTAAACAGATAGCAGAATGGATCAAAAACCAGAACCTGACAATATATTGTTTACAAGAAACACATTTAAAAATGAGAGACACATATAGAATTTTTAAAAAGGGCTGGAGTAGAATTTATTATGCTTCAGCTAATACAAAAAAAAAACCAAACCCAAGAGTAGCAATCACGATCTCAGAAAACGTTAAAGCTAAAATAGATTTAATTAAAATAGACAACAAAGGAAACTACATTATGTTAGAAAGTACCATAAATAATAATAATATCAACAGTAAACACATATGCACCCAGTGTTATAGCATTTAGATTTTTAAAGAAAAAGGTAGATGAATTATAGGTGGAAATAGATAGCAAAACTTCTTTTTGCTACCAGGATCTCTGGTCCTGATTACTATCTCTTTTTATAGTGTTTTGCTGGTGAAATATAGAAATGCTGATGATTTATGTGGGTTTATTTTACATTCTCCTACTTTGCTAAAATTTTCAACTAGCTTTTTAGTTGAATCTCTAGTATTTTCAAAGTATACCATCACGTTATCTGCAAAAAGAGATAGTTTTTACCTCATTGCCCATTGTGATTCCTTTGCTTTCTTTTTCTTCTCTTATTGCTATTGCTAGCATCTCTAAGGAGGAAAGGATAGGGGTCCCAGTCATCAGATGAACTACTGAATTTATCTGAAAAATAAAGAAAAGTTGAACACACTCAGAATTTGCTATAGACACATCTAACATGCCATAGAGAAATGTGTGGATAGTAAAGTTAAGATGGAAGAAAACATAAAGGAAGGAAAAACAGTTGCAAGCAAAACTAGCTTACTAATTCTGAGGGAACTAAAAGGAAAACATTTAAAGAATTAGACTCTAATGAAGTGCCCAACAATTGCGGAATGGCTGAATTGTGGTATATAAGCGTAATGGAATACTATCAAATTATTGTTAAGATATAACAAGACAAACTTCAGAGAATCTTAGGTAGTTTGAACTGATAGGGTGAAGTAAGCAGAACCAGGAGAACAATTGATATGAGGAAAACATTGCGAAGAAAAATACTTTTGAAAGGCTTAATAACTCTGACCAACGCAGTGACCAACCATGTCTCTAAATGATCTGATTGGTTTTGCTTTGCCAATGCTTCTTTGTTAAAAGTGGGGGTTTTTTGTTTTTTTTAATTGGTAAGGAGTGCTGAGATGATTAGAAATGATGCTAAGAGGCTACTGAAATATGTATTTTTAAATGCACCAAAGGAAAGTTCAGAGGGAAACACAAACAGGATAGTTTTGAAAGTGACATGTAATTTATTATGTAAACATAAATATTTCAAAGCAAGTAATTTGAAATGTAAATTCATGGCTCCATATGCAATCTTCATTTCGTGCTCTGTACTGTAATGCGTATTTTTCTTTAGTTTTTAAGCTCAAGATTTTTTTAAAAGCCTTAAAAAAATGCAAAGAATACAATGTCCTATTTTGTTTATTATAACACATGACTCCCCAGAGCAAAACACAGCTTTAGCTATTCTAGATGTTTCTTATACATATATTAAGGCCGTACATGATTCCTAAATGTCAGATATAATTGTTCAGTGCCCTCTGATTATTAATATCAAGCAAGATGTAAAGCATAGTGTTTCCCTTTAGTCAGTAAAGGCCAGAATAGAGACTACCCACGGACACTTCCACAAATACTGCTTTCCAAATGACATTGTGTTGATTGCATCAAGGAAATAAACATTACAGGGCTTTCTTGATGAGCTCCATTACTCCAAAGAGATAAGCCTAACAGTCCACACTGAAAAAAATTTAAATGGATTAAATATGCCTAGTCTTCAGCTGATGAAAACCAGCTGGATGCCCAATTTATTTAGTTAATACATCAGGACATATTTCTGTGTGAGGTATTGCAAATGAATTAAGTTGGGCCCAGAATTACATAGAAGGTAGGAGGCTGTGGGATGCTTGCATTGGAGAAATTTTAGTCCCCCTTTGACCTTGCCAAAGCTTCTTCCTACTACAAGAGCCTTAAATTTTCCCTTCATGAGCTTGTATGGGTGTGAATCTTGTAATATCACATTCTTTCAAGAACTGATGCTTTGAGTGATAAGAGAAATTTTAAAAAAATGGCAGGCACAAGTAGGGGTGCAATCTATTTTCAATAATGACCTTTATGCAATAAATGACAGTGACATCAACAAAAGGCCTTTATGATTGGAAATAATGTAGAATTGCTCACATAAAAAGTGCATGGGATAACAAAGTTCAAAGGCTGTATCTGTATCCAGGAAATCATCATCATTATAGATAACATTTATATAGCCCTTTACATACAGATCATCTCATGGGATCCTCACAACAACCAACAGGAGGTAGGTACTATTACCCCAATTTTGCAGACACGGTTTCTTGAGGTTGAGATGTTAAGTGACTTGCCCAGCGTCAAGTAGCTGGGAAACGTTCGAGGCAGGATTTAAACAGGATTAATCCTGACTCCAAGGCCAGTGTTCTAACCACTGCACCACCTAGTGACCATGCTGAAAAAATAAGGCCTCTATGCACTGCTGTTTTCACTGATGAAAGGAATACCCATTTGGATGAGATCCTAGTTCCATGGAAACATTAAAGAAATACATTGTCAAAAATAGAAAAATAGGTCTAGGCTACTTTAATTTCAACAGTATCCTACCCCTAATGAACTATGACATGCATAATGTAAAAAGTAAGGCCAATTCAAAAATTAAGACAACATGAATATTTAATGATATTTCAGAATATATATTATATACCAGAACTCTGGCATCTATTGACATGAGGAAAATACATTAATGAATTTCTGTTAATAACACAGCTTGTGAAATAACAACATGGAATTAGATACCATTAAGAAAAATGAAAATTTAATTTCCAACAAATACAATTATCTTCCTATACTACCATTCCCATATTCCCAGTTCTGTTGTGAAGCCATAAGATAATAATCAGGAATAACCTCATCCATGATGCCTCAATACTTGGGTGAGTAAGAATAATCATTTTTCTCTCAACTCATTTTCCTTGTGCTACAAGTCTGATCTTGCATTTTCTACAGAAGACCTATGCCCCTTTTCCCCTTAATAAGTATGGCTACCCTTTAGCACAAGACCTAACTACTGCTTTTGAAAACTGCATATACACAATTCACCACACACACACATACACACACACACATACACACACAAGCATGTGCTCCTGTCACGTATTATGCCACCCATGTGCAAGACATGTAATTCTTAGTCTTCAGGCTCCTCATAGTGAGCGTAGCCACTGGCATAGGTCCTTCCTAAATTTAAATTGGTGAATAGATCCGTGGTTTCTGCATCTGAATCTTTTCCTCCTTCATCCTCTTCCTCATCATCCTCTTCTGCTTCATAGTCATCATCTTCTTCTTCCTGGTATCCTGTATCTCCATACTTTCCTGATGCAAGATTCTTCCAATAGGCATCATACCCAGAAGCTCCATCTGCTTCTTCACCTCCAGTTTGCCGGCCAAACTTCAAGGAGCGTGCTACAACAAGAAAGAGGTGTGAATTCAGCATTCCCATTTTTCAAGATCTTTTCTCTAAGACATGAAATAATTCTAATCACTGGCTGCTTTTTAACAACTCTACCCAAGAAATTTTAAAATCCTTTCTTAAATGCTTCTATTTCATTCTAAGTGTCTTCATTCTGTTCTTAATGGAAAAGCAACTAATGTTTTTAAAAAATAAAACACGTAAAGAATGTTATCCTCCAACAAACTATATAACCTGCATGTGACACTTATGCAAGACATATACATCAATCAATAATAATGGACCTTACAGCAATAATCATTTAATCAAGGATTGGCATCGCTATCATTAAATGAAATTGACAAGGGCTAGTCATTTTGCAGGCCTCAGCATCTGTTACTTTTATGTCCCAGCTCGGCACTATTGCTGGTTTGTTGCCAAGATTTTTATAGTGATAGGAAAACAGGAAAGATACATAACTATGCTAGGGGCAGACAGCTATTTTGTGAAGACATAAAAACACTAACATAATACAAGGTATCAAATCTAATTTCTCGACCACAGCAGTAGCAAAAACAAGTATTTTAACTAGGTTTGGTGTACAACAAAAATTCATTCTTTACTTTGTACTTATATACTCATCATTCCCAGTTTGCAAGAGACTTCACATGCTATCTTACTCTTTAAAAAATTAGACACATATATAAATGAATGAGATACTGTGGAAAACAGATTTACTCAATTTGTCCTGTTTTTCTACAACTGCAAAACTCTAAAAAATAAATCAGTGACTGGGTTAGCCTAGAGGATAAGCAATAGATATGGGGAGTGAGAAGTTGTCTGTAAAAAATATATCTCTTGTTTTTCATTTGATCACAGAAATGTCAACTTTCTTGATTAAATATACATTACTACAGTAGCCATTTATAAAGCTAAAAGGAGAGTTCTGAAGTGTTTTCTAAAAGGTTAAAAGTTTTCTTAGAAACTGTGAACTGGGGGCAGCTAGATGGCGCAGTGGATAGAGCACCGGCCCTGAAGTCAGGAGGACCTGAGTTCAAATTCGGCCTCAGACCAAACACTTGACACTTACTAGCTGTGTGACCCTGGGCAAGTCACTTAACCCCAACTGCCCCCCCCAAAAAAAGGAAGAAACTGTGAACTGCATTTCAATACACTTTTTGGACTCCACCCATAGTCTTACTAGATAATAACTTTATACATGTTACATAAGCACACTAAATCTCACATACATTTTCATTTTCCTCCTATGTAAAAAGAAGAGGTTGTGCTAAATGATGTCTAAAGTACATTTTAGCCCTAATATTCTCTTTCATTTTTATTGAGCACATAATTTCACTGGTGAAAAAAACTCCTGGTAAGAAAACACTCTCTACCAACTCTGACTGGCAAATTCTCTTTGACACATAGTCTCGGTTCCTGGGACATTGAAAGGTTAAATGATTTGCCCAGGGTCACACAGTCAATATATACATATATATATATATATATCAGAGGCAGGTCTTCCCAATTTTGTGGACTGTTCTCTATCTACTATCCCATGATGCCTATCATTCTACGATAATGATCAAATATTTTAAGACTGGCTTGGGAAACAGCCCTGCAATTTCACCGAATCTAAAATTCCCATCAAATATTTCTTTTGAATTTAATAGTTAATCACAGATTAATAGGAAGATAGGGGCAAGGGGTGGAGAAGAAGGCTCAGATCTTTAAATTTCTGTATTTAGTAGGGCATTAACAAAGACAAACTTATGGCTGTTGAAAAATTATCATACTCCTACATGTATACTTTTTCACAGTAGTGCCAAGTCCAATTTTCTTAACCAGATGAAAACACTGAGCATAAAAAATCCTCTACTCAACTATAATGCCTAAGAATGGACACCCTAAGAAGGGTCTTACTTGACATGCTCAGATCCTTAGTTTCTTGAGTTTCGTGTCCACATTTAGGACATGGAGGCTCTTTTCCTTTTTCTTGCTTAAACACTTTGCTCCTTGTATGATCATCACAGAAACAAGCCTAAGAGGAAGAAAGCAAATAACTGAATGATATTACTTTAACCTAGTTCAAGAAATAGTTTTGATTTGAGCATAGACAGAAATAAAATTTTCAGAGGATTAGAGAAATATCCCTTCTGTGAAGGAATAAATATCCCTTCTGTGAAGGAATAAAATCAAGTAGGGGTTCTTGGGTGAAACAAAGCCTGTCAGCACAGTGCCAGTAAATTATAATTTAAGGCCATAACTTACCACAGAGTGGTGTCTCCTTTATACTTTAGACACTCAATAACATAAAAGATTTCTCCCCTATAATAACAACAGATGCTTAGAAATGAAGTAGATAATCACCGAAATTGTACTCTCAATTAGCAAGTCTGATCCAAAAAGAAGGGCAAAGGTAATGCTGGATATGGCCTTGTGAGAAAAACAATCACCAAAGTGTTTACTATGACTAAGAAATCGTTAAGTGACCCACGATATTGTGGAAGTGTTTAAGGCACAGGTTCTGAACTTTTTTGTGTGTCATGGGCCCCTTTCGAAGTCCAGTGAAGCCCACAGATCCCTTCTCAGAATGACAATTTTAAATGCATCAAAAAAGGTACATGACTGCAAAGGAAACCAAGTATATTTAAATACAGTTGTCAAAATATCTAAATAAGCAAATAAATAGAGAAAAGGTTAGATACACATTTATATATTTATTTGTAAACAAACAAAAGCAAACTCATGAAGCCGTATGTGGAGTCAGGAAGACCTGAGTTCAAATCCTGCCTCAGACCTTTATGAGCTGTATGGCCTTGGGCAAGTCATTTAACCAGTTTGCCTGTTTCCTCAATAGTAAAATGAGGATAACAACACCACCTACCTCCAAAGGCTGTTGTGAGGATCAAATGAGATAATATTTGTGAAACACTTAATACAGAACCCAGCACACAGTAGGGGCTATGGCTATATAAATGTGTATTAGTTAAATTTTTATTTATTTAAATGTTTATTTACCTTCCCTATCCCTGCACCAAGATTAAGAACACCTAATCTAAGGGGCAACAATCCCCGGGGGACAAAAAAAGTGTGGAGTAAAGTAGTAGGATTTTTTGTTTTTGTTTATCATCAAAATTGTAAAAAAAACAACCAATCTGCAAAAACTCTGGCTTAATAAAATGGTCATTTTCAGTAATGCGTTATGCAAGTTAAAATAATAATAATAACTAACATTTTTATAAGCATTTTAAGGTCTGGAAAGCACTTTATAATACTATCTTATTTTAGCCTTACAACAAACAACTTTGGAAGGAAGTAGGTGCTATTATCATCCCTACTTTACAGATGAAGAAACTGAGGCAAATGGAGGTTGACTTGCCCAGAGCCATACTACTAGTGTCTGAGGCCAAACTTGAACTCAGGTCTTCCTGATTCTAGACACATCTCTCTTTTCTGGTAACAATAAATGCATTTTTTTAAGGCAATTGGGGTTAAGTGACTTGCCCAGGGTCACACAGCTAGTAAGTGTCAAGTGTTTGGTCTGAGGCCGCATTTGAACTCAGGTCTTCCTGACTTCAGGGCTGGTACTCTATCCACTGCACCACCTCGCTGCCCCTGCATTTTTTAATAAGAGAAAAAAATGGTCTGTTTATATGACATTTATGGAAAACATAGGGATCATTTTGGATAGTATATTCTGATTCCCCCTATAGTAGAAGCAGAAATGGTAGAAAGAACACTTGAATAAGATTCAGAAGACCTGGGTTGTAGTTCCATTTCTGCTACAACCCCATGCAAGTTAAAGTTACTTAGCCTCTCTTGGTTGATGTTTCCTTATTTATAATATAAAGTGAGGGAATTCAACTACTAGAGTTATTGCTTCCAGCAACATGATGTTCATGAACAATCTTAGAACTGGTTGCTGAGTAAGAATCATGAAGGAAACCCTGAACTAAAATACACAAGGGATCCATTTCTACCTTACAGCGGAGGCAGGAGTGCTGTCCCAGCCGATTACAGGAAACACCTGGGGAAGAAGATATCATTTTGTCATTTTCAAACTAAAACTTACATTACTACTTTCTACAAATTTGTATCTAAGTTTGAACCCTCAGATCTATTATCTAACTTCTAATTATTCTGTACCAAAACGCAAACCTGAAAATAGGAATACACACAGTTATGATGGGGTCTACAACACAGAAAAGGGAAATCTACAAAATCTACAGACACTGTTTTGATTCCCAGAACTTTGCTTTTCTCCAGTTACTGCAGGTGTCTCCAATTCACCAGCATCTGACAAACTGCACTACCACCATCCTTACCTAGAAGGGTACCAAATCCCTTTTTACCTCTCTGATCCAAGCAAGGGCCCTTACTTTAGTCAACCACACACAACTTAGCTTTTTCAAAGGCTACCATAAACACCACTGCTGATACAAGCCTCTGATTTTGTGGATTCAGATACTACCACCTCACCCTGCCAATTCCACGTAAGGTAAGTAGAGAGAACAAGAGAACAAGAAGTTTGCAAAGCAAGGATGGAGGAAGGAAACACAGTATTGAATTGGGGAGTAGACAGAAAAGTACTATGGTGTTAAGAGTACAAATTTGGTGCATCTACTTTAAGAAACACCAGCAGATGTGTTCCATTCTTCATCTTTTTTCCTCCTGCCCATTATACCTATACTCCTGGGATCATCTGGCTTAGCTGTGGTACAACATGAAGTTTCCTGCAGTCTTGGCTTCTTCCCTGATGCTCATCCCTATTTTGTGGGGCAATACTGCTTGTAATCTAATACTACCCTCTCCCCACAATGTTTCACCATCACATTTGTAGCCTAAAGTGGTGCTTCCCTTAGCAGCTGTGCTTGTGCTCATCAAAGAGGTTACACACATGCTGGCTGAGCCAGTTTCTGGGCTCCTTCGTCCTCCTGGCTGTAGCAATCACTTCATGCCTGAGCTACATCTTAGAGTCTAATCCACACAGCAGTTTGTGAGGGGCCATGTGGGAAATGGGGACCGCTCAGACCCATCTATCCCACCAGGTCTGTGTGCCCCTCAGCCACTGAAGTGAATGCTGCCTGCCAGCCAAAATCTGCAACTCGACTGCCGCATTATATATGTGGAAAACAATACCAGCATTGATAATGACAGCAGCTAGCATTTACATAATGACTTGAGATCTGGCACGTGCTTTGCCTATGCTATTTCATCTGATCCTCAAAACAACACGGATGAAGACACGAGAATGAGAGAGGTTAAATGACTTGCTGCTTAGTTAGTCCCAGAGCTAGTGGCTGGAGCAGAATGTGAACTCGGGCATTCTGCCCACTATGCTCCTAACTGCCTACTGCTCAAGAAAGCCAGACATTTACAAAGGGGATTTAGAATATTCCAATAACATGATGCTTCTTTGCCTATTTTTTAAATTGCCTTCCAGCAGCATGTTTTTCACATGTACAGTACAATTTTCTAATATACATGTCTTAGAGATGATGATGACTATGCATATATAAACAAGCTCTAATGCAGTAGTGTCAAACCCAAACAGAAGCAGGAGCAACTGATCCATATATAAGGTTCCCTGAAGGCTACATATTGACTTAGTTTTAAAATGTAACATTATCTATGTTTTATTATCTTTTTGTTTCTTTTGTTGGATACTTCCCAATTACATTTTAATCTGATTTGAGACACTCCAGAATGTTGCTATAACTCAAATTCAAAATTCCTACCATTCAGTTATAATGGCAAATGCATAAATTATTGGATTCAATCAACTGAGGGATAAAAGTAGCCTACGTTTATCGGACTGATATGGCACCACTGGAATAGCATTTCAAGAACCTTCCCGTGTTCCAAGAGCAATTAGTAAGTGAGAAAAGGAAAAACAAACCAGATGGCAGAGAAAAGGAAGGCCTTTAAGAATTAATTATAGCAAACAGAAGAACATTGTGAATTTACAATGACACTGACTTTAATATTACAACCAGTGACAGAGTGATCATTCCTCTTGGGATGCTGATGATTATAGAGTTTTGAGGCTTTGCTTGCGTCTCTCACTGCATTGCTAAAAGATGACAGAATTATAACACTGTCATTCACAGTATCCTGCCTTTTATTCCACGTGCTATAAAACGCACAAGGAAAAAAAATCAGTGTTTCACTACATATTCTTGCAATGTGTCTAAAAGGCTCAGACTTGATTCATAATTCCAGACACTCCTTTAGTCTTTGAAACTTTGTCTGTTAGTCTAGAAACAGTGCAAGACTATAAATCTTAGATATCCCTTACTAGATGAACCTACTTTAAAACCACAGATAAGGAACATGTTTAGAAAGCACTTCTTGTAACAAAGTTTATATGAGCCTCTCAATGCACTTCTAATGAAGAAACTCAGCCTACCCAACTTAACTAAGTATCGAGCCCTGTGGAAAAAAAGTTGGTTCATTGACAAAAATATTAGTAATCTAGAGTCAGTAGGCCATGTGATTTTTAATTGTTTTATCCAATAATGGAAAATCAATATTCACTTAAATTATCATTCCATCATGGGAAGCATGCTATTTTTTCCACTATATGTTAATACTCTTAAAAGAAAGTACCTTGAATAGACATAGAAATTTAGATGAAATTACTTACATTTAAATGTTTCTGCCTCCAAAACCTGGCAGCTGGCTTGATGTTCAAATTGATCATCTTCACACAAGAAGTTATGGCAAAAAGAGCAGCTAAATATTCTGCCTCCTGTTGGAATTCCCACAACAATATCCAAATGTGTTGACATAATAAAATTAAGTGAACTTAAGTGACACTGCTTTAAAAAGTGATGTGCTAATGAAGGGGAACATAAAAATTATCTGGCAATTTTTGTTCTGATAAAAGAGACAATGACAACAGTCAGACTATTTAGGGGAGATAGCTTATGACCCTCAGTATCCTTTCTTCCCCACTGCCCTTCTCTGTTCCTTCCCAAACAATATTCACAATTCCTAAAGAAGACTATTTGTTCTCGTTGCTTGGATAGACAAGACTAGTACCTACAATCACTGCTACTACATGTTCCTTTCCATATTGTCATGACAATTAATAGCTGCCAACAGCTGGTATAAAACTATTTCCATTAACTATATCTCTAGAAATAACTTTGCAAGCAGCATTCAGAATGGTATAAAAGACATCCTACATATCTAACAAAGTAGAATATCTTTTCCCCTCACTTTACCTTATTTCTAATAACTTACCATGGTCCCATACACCTCTTTCACATTCAACACATTCTGCATCAGTAAGAGGACAGGTACAAGCATGTGTGCTCAGACATTTCCTCCCATGGCAAACCCAAGCTTCACAGAAATCACAGATAGCACCCTGTAACCAAAGAGGGGGGAAATATTGATCTTTGCCACTGACCATTTCAAATCCTTATACATGTAGCAACCCATCTACCTTTGGTGCAATAAATAGTTTCACAGGAGGAAAGTTCACTTAGGATACAAATATTGTAGCCTGAAGAGTCAGCAAGTACTCACTACATGCAGACCCTACTTGAAAATCATAAGGAACAGAGGGAAAGAGACTAGAACAACTTTAGGAGCACAAAATCCACTAAATCAGCAGCCTATTCATCCATTCCACACTAGACAGGGTATTACACATCACTGAATCAAAGCAAAAGACCAGGCACAATGGCTCCTTCACCTGCATCTCTTAAAATAAATTCTGATTCTGATGTAGTATTCATGCACTTCTTATCTGGTAAGAGCTTCTTACAATTGAATGAACTTTCGCATCAACATTTTTTACTTTCAAAAAAAGTTTACACATATTATTTCTAAAGAGGATCATGAAGTTATTCTGGAATAAATGAGATAAAATGCTAAAAGTATTGTTTAAAAAGACAGCTGATGATATTCTTATGTGATCACTCAGGATGCTTGTTTGTCGACAATGATAAAATTTAATACAAACCAAGCCCTAGAATAAGTTACTCTAGCTCTATTCCAGGCTAAGAGAGTACACATAATAAATGTTCTTCTAATAAAAACCCTTCAATCTTGTACAGTGGTAACAATACATGGAACACTAAATCTGCAGAATGTTTTTGGCTTTTAAAGTGGAATGCTAATGCATATGCCACTAAAAGAGCCATAATTCTGAAATACAGCACTTTACTAGATATATGCCCTAATTACGTGTGATTATATTTAAATGGGTTTATTGGTTTGTCCATCTACTAAATGGAAGTAATTATATTTCCCATTCATACACCTTAGGGAATTTTTTTTAAAGGAGAATTTGTTTTGCTTGACTATGCATATACGGTACAAGATTGTTTTGGTTTTTTTTTTCCTTTTCTTCCAATGAGGAGAAAAAGATGAGAGGTAGAAAAAATAATTGGGGAAAAAAAAAGAAAATTTAAAAAAAAATTTTTAAAGCTAGGGAGGGCTATTAGACACAAATACACTACCAAGAAATAGTGGAATCTACTTTACTGAAGAATACTATTGGCAATGATATCTAGGTGCAGATAATGCAAAAGGTGACCTTCTGTACATTTCTGGTTCTAATTATATCGAGCATAGCACTACATGAATGACTCAATATTTAATTACCTCATAAACTATCTCACAAGAGAATGTACCTAAAAAGTTGACTATAAGAATTTTTATAAATAAAATCACATTTTCTCACTGATTTCTTCTATAAAAATAGTTTTGCTTTCCAAAGGACAAAAATTTATCCTAGGACATTAAAATTTAAAAACCACACTTCTAAATGCAGAAGATTTTCTAAAACCACATATTAAAAAGCAGGAGGTCAAGAAAGGGATTTTCATGTGTATAAAACAGTAAGAAGATCACTGTTGCCGGATCATAGTATGTGGAGGGGAGACAAATTATAAGACTGAAAAAGTAGGAAAGGGCAATTGCAAAGGCAAGAAAGGGTCAGGTGTGAAGGGCTTTAAAATTCAAATGGAGGCTTTTATATTTGATCATGGAGATAACAGTGAGCCACTGGAATTTGCTGAATAAGTGGAGATGACATGGCATCTGAGTCGAGGACAGACTGCAGAAGGGAGAGGCTTGATGAAGGGGGTCCAACAAGAAGTCTATTATAAAAGTCCAGATGTGAAGTAATAACGGCCTGCACCAGGTTAGGGGATGAGTTAGAGGAGAGATGGGTACATATATAAGAAATTTTACAAAAGTAAAATCAACAGGACTTAGCAAGTGATTGCATACAGGGAGTAAGAGAGAGTAAAGAATCAAAAATGACACCTAGGTTGAAAGACAAGGTTAGTGGGACAATAGTGGTGCAGTAACAGGGAAGTCAGGAAGTGGGGAGGGTTTAGGGGAAAGATAATGAGTTGTGTTTTAGAGATATGAAGTTTGAGAGGCCTACTGGATATCCAGTTCAAAATGTTCAAGACAAGTAGTTGATGTGATACTGGAGAACAGGACAGAGATTAAAATATATAGATCTGGGAATCATCTCCATAGAGATAAATGAATCCATTGGGGCTGATGAGGTTACTGCAGGAGAGAACACAGAAAAAGAAGAGAAGGCATAGGGCAGAGCCTTGGGGGACATTCAGGTAAGTTTTCAAATAAAAAGGTACTAGCTGCAAGTCCTTTTGTTAACTGTTTATTTAACTAAGGACCTGGGTCTTGGTTAGGGTTCTGAGCACACTGAAAAATACTTATCTGAAAATCTTTCATTAAATCAAAACTGAATAATGTTCCCTAACAAGGTACAACTCATAGATAAAATATGTCTTCCTACTGTTATTCCTACTATTAAAATGATTTGCATTCCTTGATCATAATAACAAAGAGAAAATGCACAGGAGTAATAAAGCAGAAGCAATTTGGGGATTAAAAATTTTCCATGAATAGTCCACAAGGTTGATAAATGAGACCGACTCATACAGAAAGACAAATAAGGCTTTGACATCAAACGTAGAAAAATATTTTCCATCAGAATAATTTACTGTCCTAAATATTTGTTTGACTTTACGAGATGATTTTTAAGAAAGCTTACCACCATTGCAAGGCCAGTACTATATACACCAGCATGCTTTATGACACAATCTGAAGATTTCATCATACATTTTGCTTTTCCTATGTTAAAAAAAAAAAAAGAAAATTTAACAAGGTTTTAAAATAGCCTTGAAGAGTAATACAAAAATATCTACTAAACCTTCATTTTTTCCCTTAATCTACTCTCCTACAAAAAACAGCCCAGGAGTAAAAAAATTAAATCAATATTCTTTACTACTTATCTGAGTGACTAGCAGAGTGGTTGTAACTAAGATATTTAACTATGTGTGGAAGTTCTTTCAAGATAAGTAATATTAGTAAAAATAAACATTTTGTGCAATAGTTATTTACATACAAAATCATACCAAATATAAGTTTATGTACAACTTTATAATCTAGTATCAATATTAAGCATCTTGTGACACAAAAACAGAAATTGTATATGTCACACTTAGAAATATACTTATTACTATTTAGAAATCATTTACTTCTGTTATGTTTGTTACCCAACATAATATATTCTGCTTATAACTGTAGGGGAGAAAAATTGCCTGGGAACCAGGTACAGAGTCTAGACCTAGCTTTTCCATTAACTACTACTTATGTGACACTTAATCTCTCTGGGTCTGTTTCCTCATCTGTAAAATGACTAGGTAGGGCTATTTGAACTTTAAGTTCCATTGCACATCTAAGATTCTATGAAAATGCTTAAATAAAAAAAGTCTTACTAATTTCACATTATATAATTCATATTTTAAAAAGCTAGGTTTGATGGTATTGCCAACTTCATTTTGCAGCATTATCTCAAGTCTGAAACCAAGACAAAGAATCCTTACAGAGCTTATTCAATATGAATTTATATCTCTTATTAGCCATGCTAACCATTTCAGAAACATTTTTAAAACTATATAGATAAGCTTGACAACAAGCATTTTGAAGTAGAGCCTGAAGGTGCACAAAAAACTATTATAAATTTGTTGTTGAGACCAACAATCCCAGAAAAAGTCAATGGGGATCACTGACAAAATGAAAAACCCCAATTTCAGCCTAGCAGAATTAAGGAAATCATGAGTAAAAATACTTTGTAAGCCATTAAGGACTATCTAAATCTCATGTCACCAGTTTGTCAGCTCTCATAAGGAATTAAAACGGAAAAATGACTAAAAGAAACAATTTTACAGCATCTCTGCCTTCCTACAGAACAAAACCCTTGAGAGAGGCAAGAAGGTTGCTAGCGATGAGAGATGTAACAGTAAATAAGAAAAGTTCTATCCAGGAACTACCCAATATCCCCATGCTTCTGATACCAAGTAAGAACATAAGCAGGTACAGTATACATCCAAAATGCTTCCTTCCCGTTACTCTAATTCTCCACTATTACACATGAAATAATAATCCTTTACTCACTATCATGGCCCACCCCCCAAAAAGTCAGGAAATTGATCTCTCAATCTTCCTGCTAAAATCAGCTCTCTTATGTAACCCAGGTTCACATCCCTTAGACACCTTATTCCAAATGAACTCACATGGTAGACCAATGATCCAGTCAACTTATGTTTTCTGTTCCTAGCTCTAAAAGTGACATTAAAATAGTCTGTATGATAGTATGATAAATAAATGGCTCTCTACAACATTACTTCAAGGGTTATACCTTTACACTACTAACTCCTTTTTCATGTATCTATCTATCATTCCTGAATGTATCTAAATTCTTTTTAAACCTGTTTATCTTTTTAGGTGGAATGACCTTTCCTGATGACAAGTACCATTCTTATTATCGGAGGCGAGTGGCATATCCTATTCTATTCTGAACTAGAAACAGGCAGGTATAAGGGACTGAAGACCCCCAAAGGGCATCTGCTAAGCACCTAGAGGCAACAAAGGCAACGTGATTTCAAAAGATGAGAATTTGTCTAGCCCTATGGAAAAAAAATGCTTCAAATCACTAATAATTAGAGAAATGCAAAGAGGCTCCACTTCACATCCATCAGATTAGCAGTTTTTAACAAAAGGGATCATGATTTATAAACAAGTGGATCTCTGTAAACCAGATATAGATATAAGTCATATAAAAACTAAGATCTTAAAAAAAGATAGCCTGGACCTTTCAACTTTTCCCCAGCATTTTATTGATTCTTAGGCAAACAAGGACAATGGTATTTTTCTGCTAATCAAAAAGCAATGTATTTTAACATGAAATTTATCTGGGAGACATTGCTTGTTATAAGCAATTATAAGACTGCTTGTGAAGACCATTCAGGTTCAGGGCAAAACTTACTAACATTACAAACAGAATGCTCTGTAAAGAAAAAGAGATGTGTCCTTTGTCATATATACTTACCACATTGTGCGCACAGGGGCAACTTCTGCACAGAATTACAAAAGTAACAAAATGCTCTATTCTTCTGTCGTCTTGTTATACGAAATAAAAACAAAGAGTGAAGTCAATTAATTATAAAAAATGAAATGCAAATTTCATAATGAAATGTATAAAGAAAAAAATGATTAAATTTTTACCTCTGACATTTATCACATTCCTGTAAGAAAAAAAAAACACATTTTTTTTCTATTGGTATAAGATAGTGAAGAGAATTTATAAAGGTTATATCATGATTTGGATTTAGTCAGTACATTTGATAGTTGTACTATATACAAACATAACTAGGAATGTCTGGCTTGAGTAAAATCACATATTGCATTTTATATATACATGAAATGGAAACACGGAAAGAGAAAGAACACAGGAAAGAGTTGGAGTTATCACAAGTAAAAGAAGTTACATCCAGGGATGAAAAAAGGCAAACATAAGACATTAAAATAATATAGCAGAGGAAATGGTAGAATAAAACAAAGACTAAAAAAGAGATGAGCAACATCAGGAGGACAAGAAGGGTACAGAATTAAAAAAAGGGGAACCCAAAATAGCTCAGTGCGGCATGGTAAATAAAGGGACATTTTTTTAAAAAAGGCAGGAGATGAGTATGCATCAAAAGCTACTTTACCACATCTTTGTATAATCCCAACCAGGCCAGAAATTGGTGGCCTACACTGTTCAGACCCATATTTGCTATAGAAACCACAAAGAAATTCCTCCTGGAAGGGCTATCTACAAAAATGGCAGGGGCAGTGATGCAGTGGCACAAATAGGAGTACCCTGAGAAACAGGAGACCAAGGCAGGAATCTAGCACAGGTACAGGGGAAACATGGAACAGATATAGGAAGGAACGTCAGCGTAACTAAAACTCAGAAAATGTGACATTCCATAACTATTCTGTGTAAGGAATTAGCTAGATACCAAGGACACAAAGACAAAAGAAACACGGGTCTAGCCTTCAACAAGATTATATCCCATAGGGAATATGAGAGGCACACAGTTCAGTATAAGAAATAATAATATGAGGAAAAGAATACAACATTACTGGCGGAATATCAAGACTTCACAGAGAAAGCAGGATCTGGGCTAAGCTTTGAAGTAAGATAAGGAAGGAGAGGAGATGATGGAGACAGGATCCTGGTAAAAAGACAAGAGCTGAGGAGGGTCAGAATTGGAAGACCCAAGTAAGTTCTGAATCATCTATCTGGTTCCCCACCTCCCCTCAACTCCAACTAGAACAGCTCCTTCTAGGGAATTTTCAAGAGAAAGAGATAAATGAGGACATAGATAACATCCCCCATATCTGGTGTGGTGATATCTGTGATGATGAAGGATCAGTGAAAACAGCCAGGTATTTTTTAGAGATTTAGCTGGCAAAATAACTACTCAATAAACTTGTGGAAGTAGTAGAGTCAAAGAGAAACAAAAAGATATTCCTGAATGCAGAGGAAGCTAAAGAAGTGGAAGATGAGAAGCTGAAAGTCAGGGAAAGTGAAGAAGTAAATACTACCTACTATTCACTGTCTCCCCTTCCCTTAGCTCCAACTGCTGCTGATCAACTATGGCTTAATCATATATGGGCATTTGTCGGATTCTGACACTTTCAATAAAGAATCTCCTCTAAGCCTCCCTGTTAGGCTTCACCCATTTCATAAGGTATGGAGTCAAGGGCCACGGATAAAGGAATCAGGAAGCCTGGGGTCCTCAGGGGTTGGAGCTAGGTGGCTGCATTTTGAGAGTCTGGGTTCTCCCATGGCCCTACAGCATCACCCAAGAAGAAACAGCAGCTCCTTAAGTCCTAGTAAGCCACAACAGTGCCTATTCTTTTACCCTTAGATCCCAAGGAAATTCTGAGACTTTGCTATCCAGACTTTCTTTTTCTTTTTTTTTTTTTAAATTTTATTTATTTATTTTTTTTAGGCAATTGGGGTTAAGTGACTTGCCCAGGGTTACACAGCTAGCGAGCGTCAAGTGTTTGGTCTAAGGCTGGATTTGAACTCAGGTCTTCCTAACTTCAGGGCCAGTGCTCTATCCACTGCGCCACCTAGTTGCCCCCTTGCTACCCAGATTTTCACAAGAGAATAATTCCTCCAAGCCTCTAGGTATCTCAATAGAATAATAAAAGAGGTCAAGAATGTTGATAAACTTTCAATGCTAACTAACCAGGGCAAGAGGTGGAGAATGGGAGAGGGGTTTGCTGGCCCTTTACAAGGGCCCATCAGAAAATTTTTCATGGGACAGGACCTAGGATCCAAAGTTTGAAATATTTTAATAGCACATACCTGAATAGCACATAAAAAGATAACAAGACACCCTTGCATTATTATAAAACATAATTTTGGAGACGACTTTTCTCAACTACCAACAAAGAAACATTTCCTATTGAGACAGATGCTCTGTTTAGCATATATCATATGCTAGGAGCTGCACGGAGTATGGAATGACATATAATCAATGCAGGAAACATAATAGGTATGTACATATATGGGTACAGGCATCATCCAATGACATCAAATTCTAGACTAAAATTAAATGATACAGCACACTGTAAATAATGGAACTCTATTGTTTTCACTGTAACCTATAAATAACAGTATCTGGCTTTATCAATGTCTGTCCTGAACTATCACCTCTTCTCTTTCTACACTCTCATTCTGGGCTATCTCAACAACTCCCACAGGTCCATTCTCATCTACAAACTGACTGATGACTCCTAAATCCATACACTCTGCCTCAACCTCTCTCCTTAATTCAAATACTGAATCAATACCTGCCTGTTGGGCATCTCCACTAGAGTTACAAATTCAACATGTCAAAAACAGAACTCATAACATTTCCCCAAAACCCATCCCTCCTCCAAACTTTCCTATTTCTGTTGAGGACACCCCTAGTCACCCAGGTTCACAATGGAAATCATCTTTGGCTCCTCCCTTCTCTCCACATTTGGTTGCCAAGTTTCATCAATTTTACCTTCATAGCATCTTACACCTATCCCCTTCCCTCTAATCTCAGTGATTATTTCACAAAAACCCCTAAAATAGCCTCCTTACCGATCTCTATACTTCTAGTCTGTCCCTTCTCCAATTCATTCTCCACACAGGTGCCAAATTAATATTACTAAAACACAAATCTGACCCCTGTTAAAAAAAAATGTTTAGTGGTTCCCTAATGCTCCAGAATAAAATACAAACTCTTCATTTTGGCATTTAAAGTCCTCTGCTATCTGGCTTATCTTTCTGGATTTATTTCACATCACATCCTTCACATACTCCACGTTCCAGTCAAACTGGCCTCCTAGCCTTTCCCCATACTTGACATCAAAGTCCAGTGCAATGATTCCAGTAAAAGCTGTCCCTCATGTCTTGGATGCATTCCCGGCTTTCCTCTACCCCTTAAAACTCTCTTTATCAAGGCTCAGTTAAAGTGATACCTTCTCCTCAAAGCCTGGTTTTCCCAGTAACAAAGTGATCATACTGTAATTGCATATCTGTGCACATGTTTAGACACCCAACAGAACATAAGCTCCTTGAGGGCAGTGACTGTTTAGTTTTTGTCTTTGTATTTCAAAGATGTCTAGAAAAAAGCCGTTTGTGCGTGTGTGTGTGTGTACATTTCATAAAGGTGTATTTAATTGAATTGCGGGGGAAATTACCATTGAAGCGTTACATGGATGTTTAGCTAAATCGATATTGCCTCTTGCTGCTCTCAGCTGTTTTTCACGTTCTCGACGGTTTTCAGCCTTCTTCCTCGCACCAGTCTTTTTTTTAGGCATTTTTGCCTACTTTCTGCACATAAGAGAAAAGAAGATTTGAGATCTGGCTGCATCTACTATTTTAACCCAACTAAAATGATATAACATAATGTTCTCTCAACCTGGTAATTTTGACGAATTAACCACATTACTCAAATTTTTTGAAACATTTAACACATTATATATGCTATCTGACAAGGAAATAAGAGATACTCTTTAAAACACATAGCCTTTTAAAATAAAGCACTTATTTACATTCACAGAATAATGCTAAAACATGTGAAACTCAAAAAGTAGACAGCATTTATTTTGAAAGCCAAAACATTTATTGCAGGTTAAAATTTTATTTGTCCTGAATTCTTCGAAAGACGCACTACAATCTCTACCCCTCCAAAAAACAAACAAACAAACAAAAAAACCACCTAAACTTCTTTTCTGGAGACAATATAAACTAGTAGAAGAACAGATATATAAACTAGTAGAAGAATATAGATATAATCCTTTACTGATCTAATGTATAGCATCCTTCCAAATCGTATAGTAACATAAACATTTATCAGTTACTACACTGCTGACCCAAAAAGTTAAATACTTAAATATACTAAGCTTTACAGCATTATTCACAAATATAATACATTCTGAGAAGTTATCAAATCTTCTATGTAACCTACTTTCAGGACACTATTTCTTGAATATAGTCAAAGTTACAGTTAAGCAATTTTAATATAATGAAACATAACAAGTTGAAGTTGTTTTTAATATTTTAATTTTCTTCACTTAAGCTACAGATCTACCATCCTCAACTGTAATAGTTTTCTTATTTAGTCAACTGGGAATTAGCCATTAGCCATGCTTTGCAATCTCTGAAGAAAAAATTTCTAAATTATCATAGTTTAAATAACCCAAATTTTACAGGAAAATAACAGCAGAAAAATAAAATCTAATTAGTATGCATCAAGCAACTTCCACAAAAGAAGCCTTTTTTATTGCCTATCCATAAACAAATCAAGCAAAACTAAAGAAGCCATGCAGCTCTGAAGTTGAGGCTAAGCAACGTGTAGTCCCATAGAACTGGCATAACCCATCTTAAACATAAGGCAGTGACTTTGTCATTTGAAAAATGAAGTCTACTCTCTTAAGAATATGGGCTGTCTTCTCATGGGAGGTGTCATGTGCAAAAGTCACAGGATCACAGAGTTAGAACGGAAAGAATCATATACATCTGCTACTCCAACTTATTTTACAGATGAGAAAAATAAGATTCAACAAGGTTAAATGATTTGCTGCAAAGCAAAAAGCTAGAGAAAGGCAGACAGGTTTCAAATTCCAAATAAAGGAGAATTCATTCACAACAGAACAGATAGGTTCACCAGATTCATTTCATAGATGACAATAATTGTATCAAGACTAAGAATACTATAGATCAGACTTGCACAACTTGGCAGTAGATAGGGGCCAAAATTAAAATACGCTAAACTTCTTTGGGACGCAGCTCACTTTCCAAGTAAAGGTATAATTAATGATTAAACTATTTCTCAGAAACACTTTTTAAAAATCAGAACATAATCCAGAAACTGCAATCAGCAAACACTTCTTTATGAAGTCACCTTCAATAAAAGACTTCCTAGCAGCAATTTCTTTAGAAATCTGAAAACTAACCTCAGTGGCCACCTTATTTTCTGAGTTTACTTTCTTGAAAAACCATTGTTCCCTACAGAGATTTTTCAAAAATTTGGATGCTTTAATTTGTTTTTCATTGGTGTCCAATTTGCTTAAGTAAGGATGTTCTGATCTGAAATGGCAATGAAGACTTTATTCCTTTAGAATGGCTATTATTTCTCCAAGGCACAATATTTTATCTCTAATGTAAGTAAACAAGTATCTATTTGTCCACTCCAGATTAAACACCCTATGTTCTGCTTCAATCTTCTATTTCTTTTTGTTACCCATTTTACAAAGTCACCCCAAAATCTTTAATGTTAGAACCAAAAAAATCTCCCAGTAACTGCTCACACACAAAGAAATACTGAACTGAGTGTCTGACCTTGGGGAGAGCGCCAGACACTCAAGTAACTTGGAGGGTGGCCACCCAGGGAGGGAGAGGAAGAAGCCCCCATGTTGTTGCCGCTTATTGCATAGCAGGCATTAGCTGGGTTGGCATGTGACTATACTCACTTTCTCCCTGTTCAATGACAGTAATAACCAAAAACACAGAGAAAAGATATGACTCTCATTCCTCAGACTAGAGACAGACTGATGATGGTTGGTCGCCATGGGTCACATGACAAACAGGAGAGTGCCCACTGGAAACCAAGCCACAATGTTGTATGACGGGCACAATAGTGACTAGTGGAAGGTGGGGTAAGCACAATAGTGACTAGTGGAAAGTAGGGTAAGCGGGACATAGGAAAAGCACTCATTATATCTTTTTACATGCTCTACATTTTTTGTGGCCCACCCAAGATCTTTTCACAAGCAGCCTGAGGGCCATATGTTGTGCAGGCCTGCTATAGGACCTCCTCAAAGAAATACATGGTCAACCTCCAATAGAGGTTGGACTAATCAAATAAAAGGGAGAAAATAAAAAAAGAACACATTGAGCAACCATAATATGCAGCAGTTGGACAGAAGTGAGTTAGTCTACCAGTAAAATGTTCTTAATTGCTAAAACAATGGTGTACAGAGATAAAAATACTGGATTTGGCATCAAATGAGCTGGATTCAAGTTCTTACTAGCTATGTAAACCTGATCTCTCTGGGCCTCAAATTTATAATCTATAAAATGACAGCACTTAATTTAATCTATGTTCTAATTTTCAGGGCAACCAATCTGTGTGTCCAATCATCTGTGCAACAACTCTGGAAGGAAGATATTAAGTCTGCAGCTTGGTCAAGTGGTCGGGTACTTGACATTTTGCTTCTCAAGGGACCCACAATATTGCAATAGCTTACCATGACAAACACAACACTACTAAACTGGGTCTAAAGGCACAAATCTAAGAGAATGTTAAACCAAGTTGGGTTAGCCCCTGGGAAATCTAAACACAGCAGGCAACACAAAGTGCTCATAAAGCACCTGAACATGAATCCCACCTACAACATTTAGGACAAGTAATCATCTAATCTCCACTTAAAGGCCTTCAGTGAAGGGGAAATCACTTTCTAGACCAACACTAAAGCCTTAGGAGATTCTTCCTTATACTGAAATTCATTTAGATTTTGATCTCCAAAGGACTCCTACTGCAGTACTTGTAAGAGGTGGTGAAAGGTTGAAATAGGTTAGGGACTGTGATTAGAGAGAAGGGGATAGGTGTGAGAGATGGATTCTATGAAGGTAAAATTGATAAGACTAGGCAAATGACTGGCTACGAAGAGAAGGGGAGAGCCAAGGGATAGCTCCCAGCTGTGAACCTGGCAACTGGGGGAACCCTCAACAGTGCTCAGCCCAGAGAATATATCTTTATTTAATGAATAACTGAAGCACAGTCAGACTCAGAGGACCTGGGTATAAGTCCTGGCTGTCACTAGCCACCTACTTAATTGTGCAAATCAATGCTTTTCTTTGAGCCTCCATTCCCTATCAGCCGGATATTCTCGTCTAGATCTCACTGTACATTTGAAAGAACTCTGAACCAAAGTACAGGTTCTGCCTCTGACACTCTCTGCATGACCTCTGAAAAACCCTTAACGTGTTCAAGCCTCAGCATCCTCATCTCAATACAGAGACGGTTGGACTGGCCCCTGCTTAGCGAGCTGGCTGGACTCCAAGAGGCTTTTTAGCTCTAGATACACGATGCTCAGTGCAACCCTTTTCAATCAGTGAAAAGTCACATGGGTTTCCAGAGGTCTAAGAGAACACCTCTGGAATACTCACAACACTTCAGGAATAGTTCTTTCTCAACAAGTCTTTTATGTTCCAAAAAAAGGCAGATTCCCCAAACTCTGGCACTTCTCAGGAACTGGGGTCACTGGAAAAGATTCTCACCCGCAAAGTTCAAAGAATCTCAGCTGGGGGAGACCTCAATGGCCAACTAGTTCAACTTGTATCTGGAAAAGATTCCTATCTGTTACACCCCCAACAAGTGGACCTTCAGCTTCTGCTGGAAGACTTTCAGTAACAGGTGGGGGGCTGGGAGGGATCCCACAACCTTTGGAGGAAGTCCAATCTATTTCTGATAGTTCTAAAACTTCATTAGTTTTTCCTTCCAGCAAACTTTAATTTACAGCTATCTTATGCAATTAAATGGAAGCTTAGTGGCCCAGTAGATAAAGAACCTGGCCTGGGGTCAGAAAGACTCCTCTCTCCCAGTTCAAATCCGGCCTCAAACACTTACTATCTGTATGACCCTGGGCAAGTTGCTTAACCCTCTCTGCCTCAGTTTCCTCATCTGTAAAATGAGCTGGAGAAGGAAAAGGTAAATCACTCCAGTAATTTGCCAAGAAAACCCCAAATGCAGTCATGAAGAGTCAGACACAACTGAAAAACACCTAAACAACAACTATGCAATTAATATGGTCAAGTTTCTTTATTATTTTCCTTATTAAACTGCAAAGTCTATGAGGATAGGGACCATTTTTTACTTAAACTTTGAATTTCAGTAGTACCTAGTACAGTGCTCTAACATACAGCTTTTACATTTCAACATTAAAACGTTTGTTGAATGACTAATATCTGAAAAAGTTAAGAGCTTAATAAAAGCTTTTTAAAGAGCTGTATAAAGATTTATACATAGGAATAATAAACAGTAAGTTATAGTCAGTAACAAGTTGAGAACTGGTAATGCTCAACTTAGAGCTATTCCTGTTTCAGTTTTGTACCCTCAGCTGTGTGTGTATTCCAGGGAGTAGGTGCTTAATACATGTTTGTTAAACTGAATCAAACTGAATTACACTGAGTTCCATAAGGTTAAAAAATATTTGTAGGATCACATAAGATAACATATATAAAGTGCTTTTCAAATTTTAAAGTGTTCTGCAAATGCCAATGATGACTCTGCTGGACCACTGTAAAAACTGATAAAATCTTAAGGGAAAAAAATTGTGCAGTATCAATAAAAGGTCTAAGGACCTTTTTCTCAATGCCCGTCTTTTTGGGACATGAAATTTCAGAGGGCTGCTCTTAGATTCACTTTCCTGTCTCTTCCAAACCCTGAATTTCTTTGGCAACATTTAAGAAACCAGGTGACCAGTACAGAGTGAAAACAAAGTGTGAAAGTATTTCCTAATTTGACAAGAACTGCTGGGAAAACCGGAAAGAAGTTGGGCAGATAGCCTGTTTAGACCAACAGCTCATACCATATGCCACAAACAAGCTCCATAAGAGTTCTTTACCAAAGTAAAAAAGATATCACTTTTTTTTGGATAAAATATAGGAAGCTATCTTTCACAACTAAAGATGGGGAGAAATTTTTATCAGTCCCCTTGATAAGCCATTTCATTTCTAGATGTTTCCTCCTGTAAAAAATTAGGAGTGTGGGCTAGATCACCTCTAAGATTTATAGCGGTAACTGCGATCCTAAGGGGCAGAAGTGACCACAAAGGTCAATGGTGATTACATAAAAGTGAAAAGGTTCTGGAAGACAAACATCAATGCAAAATGAAAATGAGGGAAACCACGTGGGGGGGGTCTCTGAATTAAGAAAGCCCCTTTGGTTTGGCCAAAGAGAGCAGGATTTCGTTTCCTTTTTTTTCATTTTTCAAAATTTTATTTTGTTTTCCCACCAGTGAATCTTAAATCCCTTACTTCGGGAAATTCTGAGATTGCCGGTGCCGTGCGTTCATCTCCTGGTTAAAAAACCACCTGGGAGAAGCCTCGTGTCAGGGAAGAGGAAGGCTCGGAGAGGCGGAAGGGGCCAGAGGAGGCCAGCTCGCCTGAGCCCTACCTGAAGAACGCGGAACTCGCCAGACAGAGAAGAATGCGGAGCTTGGGCAGTCGAAGGGCCTCGGATTCGAATCCTGCTCTGCCACCTGGACAGTGGTGTGACCTTGAGGAAGTCACTTCCCCTCTCCGGGCCTCAGTTTCCTCATCTGTAAAACAAGGGAGGAAACGAGCTAGACCGCCTCTAAGGTCGCTACCGGCTCCCAATCTACGGTCCCCAAACCAGTGGTCATTCCGACATCATTTGGGGACCAATACCCGGGGAATGGGGGGTCGCTCCCTTCCCCTAAACCTTGGGACTAGCCTCCGACTGTGGCCGGGGCTGGAGGCGGGGATGACCCGGGGGGCCCCCACACCCCGCAGCGTGGACACGACCTCCCCCGGGGCCGGCGACGATGGCTCAGCGGGACGCCGCCGGCGCCTTCCCCCCGCAGGCCGCGCTCCCCACCCCGCGTCCACACTGACCAACGGCAGAGCTTCCCGCGGGCCCGACGCTGACAGCGGCTGAGTGACAGCGACCGACAGGTCGGCGACGGCGCCCAAGGCGGACGTGGGGAAAAGAGACGGCCGGGAGGGGGCGGGACCAGCCGGCGTCCGCGACACGTCAGCACGCCCCGCACGCCGAAACGTAGCAAGGGCGACCCCACCCCTCGCCGTACCACCCCCTGTTTGCTCTGCCCTGCCCTCCGAGGAGCGAAGCAGCCTTTCGAGGGCGGGCTGCCTTCCGGGGGCGTGGCTGCCTCCCGAGGGGCGGGGTTCCTCACCCTGGAGATCTGGAAAGAGGAGCAGAGCCCAGGGGAGATTAGAAAGGAAGGTCTTGGAGGTGCCCTAGTCAGATCAGTTTTTTGTGTCACTAGGCAACCATGGACCCCTTCTCAGAATAGAGTTCTTAATTTAAATGCGTAAAATAAGATACAAAGGAAACCTAGTTTGTTGAAATATAGTTGTCAAAGTATTTTTTAAAACAAGATTATGGGCCATAGTTTCAAAAAACTATTTTTATAACAAGTTCATGGGCCATAACTATCCAAATATATTTTTTAAAAGTTCATGGGCCATAGTTATCAAGAGATAAATAGGAAGACAGATAGATAGATAGATAGATAGATAGATAGATAGATAGATAGACAGACAGACAGATAGACGTGTGTATGTATTTTTTGTAAAGTTCATTAGGTCCCAGATTAACTTCTTGCACCAAAAAGATGAGGGGAGGGCAAGAGGGAAAAGTTGGACAGAACAGGGAAGAAGGGAATCAGAAGGGCAGTAACAAAGCACAGAGTCCTCCCTTCCTCACTTCCCTATTTCTGTTAAAGCCACCACCCACCATCCTCAGACTCTGCCAAGGCTCACCATCCCAGTCATGGGGTCATAGCTATAGAGTTGAAAGGGACCTTCCAGAGGTCATCTAGGCCTCTCCTTATTTTACAGATGAGGAAACTGAGGCCCACAGAAGTTCAATTGAATTCAATAAATATTTAGTTAGCATCTACTATGTGCCAGTCACTATGCTAAACACTAAGGATACAAAAAAAGTAAAGCGTTGTGGTATAGGGGTGTTGGGCACCCCAAAATTCAACAGCACAAGGTGCGGGTCCTTCCTTGAATGAATTTGACTCAAGCTTTCTTTCAGTAGGAGACAAGGTTTATTAAAACACTGATTGAGGTGGGTGAGATTTTAAGAATCTGTGCTATTGGCCAGATTTTAAGAATCTGAGCATTTGTGATGGCAATACAACTGGGCTAGACTCTTAAGCCATTTCATGGGGGGGGGGGGCAAGATGGACCTTATATGTGGAGAGACTGTGAGAAGATCAGGATATGATGTAAGAGTGGTCAAGGACGCTGGGGTAACTGGGAGGTAACAGAGAAGGGTGAGGTGCCCCAGGCGAGCACCAGGGACCTGGGCCATGTGGAAGGGGTCTAGATAGAATTATGGGATTGATCCAGAGGGAACAGATAATGAAGGGCTAGAGTAGGTTAGAGGTAACAGAATTGGAGATTGGGGCAGGGTTAAAGTCGGAATGCAGTTGAAAGTTGAAAGAATTATTCTGAGATGAGCCTCAGGCTAATGCCAGGGCCATATGGGAGAGTTCAGGGGAAGTTCGGGGCGGGGGGGAGGTGGGGGGGGGTTCCAGGGCCCATACCCCATCGAAAGGACAGTCTCTGACCTCAAGGAGCTTACAAGCTAATCAAGGACAACATGCAAACATAGGTTTGTTGACTTGCCCAAAATCACCTAGGTAGCAAGCATGAGAGGTGGGAATTGAACCAAGTCCTCTCTTTTAGGTCAGTGCTTTTATCCCTTTATTGCCCAGTAAGTTGGCAAGTCTTGCCTCTTGTTTCCACCTCTTTTCCTTAACTCACAAAACCACCCACCTTAGTTTAGGACCTCATCACCTCCAATTTGTTCGATTTTAGGGCAGCAAACTCTTAACTGGTCTCCCTGATTCCATTCTCTCCCCTCTTCAGTCTACCCTTCACAAAACTGCTGCATTGATACTTCTAAAGTACAGGTTGTTACCCTCTTCAAGAAGCTCCTCTGGCTCCCTATTGCCTCCTGGATAGCCTACCTTACCAGGCTTATTACATGTTGCTGTCTTTTGCACTGTCTATGGTCCAGCCAAACTAGCTTCCATGCTGCTTTCTATATAAGACACTCCATCTCCCCTCAGATCATTTTTCATGCTTGGAATGAGCTCCTTCCTCTCCTCTCCTCCACCTATTAAGAATCCCTAGTGTCCTTCAAAGCTCGGCCCTGATGCCAGTGCTTCAAAGAGGTCTTTTTCTGATCCCCCAACTCCATTTCTAGTGCTTTATCCCCACCCCCCAAAACTTTGTATATATTTTGTGTTTCTTTATATGTGTACGTGTTGTCTCCTCACCAATAGAGTGCAAGCACCTTATGGACATGGACTGTCTTATTTTGTTTTTGTATGCCCAGGGCCTAACCCATTGCCTGGCACATGGTGGGCATTTAAGAAATGCTTGTTGAATGAATGAATGACTCTCCCCTTGCTAGATCTTGCTAGATCTTGAAACACATCCTGCCCAGATTAATGCTTTTATTGTTCAGATCAACATACATTTTCCCGGATGAAGTCTAATAAATCAAAAGAGATTTGTGATAAGCACGCCTTGCCAAAGGTGCTTTGCATTACAAGTCTGAAGACTGCCTTAAAAACTCATTAACACAGATTGACACATTTATGAATCTGGTTTGAAGGTACCTTAGCGGCCACCCATTCCAACCTCCCTCCCAATGCGCTGATTTGTAGTGTCCCTTATAAGGATTGGGCCTTTTTTTAAATGTATTATTAATGGAGGGCCCTACACCTCACAGGGCTACTGATGCCATTTAGGGATTGCTGGAAAGTTCTTCCTTACCTACCACTGGTTATAGTTCTTCCCTGGACCAACACAAAATATCTGATTGTTCTGCCATGGCCCTTAAAGGATTTGAAGATAGCTTGTCTTATTGTTTGTTTTGAGAAAGTTTTTAACATTCCATTTGTTCATTTTAAAAAATTTTCTTAAGATCTTTTTATTCTAGAGCTATGCTTATTTGTATAATAATGACGGTGCTCACAATACTCCCCTATATCCTGGGAAATTCCAATTCCCTGACACAAAGGGGAGGAGAGCCTTGTCCAATAACAACGTAGCAACCACTACAACTGGCCTTTGAGGTTTGAAAAGTGATTTGCATGCGTTATCTTGCTTGATTCTCACAACCTAGTATGGTCAGTAACCACAAGTATTATGATTCCCATTTTATAGGCAAAGGGACTATGGTTCAGAAGGGTGAGATGACTTACTCTAGGTCTCACAAATAGTTAATAGATTTTAAACTTCTCTCTCTCATGGTTCCATGTGCAGTGTATTTTCTACTACACAACCCTTCTGCCCTCCTAGAGTAATTCAAAATTCACTTCTGATTTCCTGAGCTTATGACAGGCTGTTTCTGCTCTAGACATGCCTTTCTTATCAGCACACCTTCCTTTTTCTGGAATCCTCTATGCCTGGAACTTCCCAGTTGCTGCCATCTTGATATTCCATGGTACAACCTCAGTGGCTTCTTACCTATGACATCAAAGGTGGAAAACCAACTGAAAAATCCCGGGAAAGACCAACCACAACATTGTAAAACCCTTGATCCTCTTCTCCATCGCTGAGCTGCCCAAATGCACAGAGTGAGAAAAGACTAAGGAAACCCACCCATTGAACCAAGAGGAGTGGGAAGAGCTTAGTGTGACTACTCACCAAGTCCAGGAAAAGGCCCTCCTCAGGCCGGTTATGGACTTCCTCCTTCTTTTACTTTGGTCTCAAGATCATCATGCCTGAAGTTCTGAAAACATCCTTGCTTGTATGTATTGCTTTCATAACTTTTCCCATCCATTTCTGGAGTTGTTAGCTAATTCCCTGGTTTGGGGTTTTAGAAGTAAGTAATGGGGGAATGAGTGGTGTTGCCATAATATGTTTCCCTTGTTGCCTTTGTCTCCCTCTCTATGTTGCTAGCCTTGGATAGCTCAAGTCAAATCACATAGCCTTCTCTTAAACTCACCAAATAATAAATGCCTGTTTCCTGCCTTCCCTTTTACCAAATAAATCCCTATTGCCTTTTAAATCCTGGTCTAATTCTCATGTGAAACTCCTAAGTCCTCAAACTAAACATCATACTAACCCACCCCCCAAATTCTGTCCCTGGTCATCCTGGATATCTTCCAAATTATATTATATTTGAGGCTTCAGAGACCACATATGATACACATAATGGAATAAACAAGTTCTGCTATGAGGTGATGCATTTTGATCAGTTATTGATCACTTCTCAGATGATGCTAACCTCAAGTGAAATGCACCAAGAGCCTGTTCACTAAAGGAATTTTGTGCAATTCTATTGGTCCACACGCTGAGCCATATGTATGAATCTTACCTGTTTCAAAGTTTGGTCAATAGGCTTCCGCAAAGATGGAGATATTATATGTAGTATGGTTGCTGCCATTTCATAGAACTGACCCAAGTATACTAGAAATTAATGGGCGTATTCATATTGTGATACCTTCTGCTGGAGAGTGCACCAGCTTGTTAGTTAACTTGAAAACCTAGCTCACATCTGGGCCCCAAACATAAGGATGTACAGCCTAAATTATATCATTTTCATCATCTCTTTCAAACAACGTAAGAAAAAACTTATGGAAATTTACAAAGCTGGTTAGTAAAATCTCCAAGGACCATAGAACATGTACTATATTGGGACTCTCCTGGTTCTTTCCTTTTTCCTGCTTCCCTTTCCCTGAACTCATGCTGAGGGTATGTCCCACTTTGAGTCATGAGAACTAGGGCTCTCCAGTGTACAAAGAGACACTGTGTAACTTCTCTGCTCCTTGCACAAAACCT